TGTATTTTGTTGTATTGGAATGTTCTATAAGTATCTGTTAGGTCCATTTGGTCTAAAGTATGTTCAAGTTCACTATTTCCTTACTGATTTTCTGTCTAGATGATTTTTCTAGTTACAAGTGAGGTACTGGGGTACTGAAGTCTGCTACCATTATTATATTGTAGTCTCTCTTCAGATCTAGTAATATTCGCTTTATATATTTAGGTGCTTCAATGTTGACTGCATTTATATTTACAACTGTTACAAGTTCTTGATAAACTGACCCCTTTTACCACTATATAATGACCTTATTTGTCTATTTTTATAGTTATTGACTTAAAATCTATTTTGTCTGACATAACCACAGCTATCTCTCGCTAATTTCTTCTTGAAATATGCTGTTTTATTAAGCTGGAACCCTTGGTTGGGTATATATTCAACTGTGTATTTGTCTGTTATTTTTCATTCTCTTTACCTAAGCTATTTTTTATTTTTAATGTTTATAAATACTCATAGAATTCATGTATATTTAAAGTTTAAATAATGACACCTATGTGCAACTACAAAGCTTAAGAAAGGCAGCATTATTTGAAAACCCCATGCATTCCTCTGCGACTATACTCACTCCTCCTCCTCCCACAAAGAATCATTATTCTAAAAATTTGTGTTTCATTCCTTCTACTTTCAAATTTTACCACGTCATATGGCTCTCCCAATGCTTATTTTGTCTTAAATGCGATTGCATTTTCTATAAAAGAAATCAAATCATAAATTTCTTCTGTAACTTGCTTTTTCCACTCAAAATACTCCTTATGATATTTTTTCATGCTGCAGGATATAGCTGTGGTTTATTTATACTGTAGAGCAGCCCATTAAATAAAATATCACAATACTTAACCTATGTTTCATGTTTTCCTCCTGATAACTCTATTCTTTCTCACATCCCTAACTATGGTAGAATTTCAGAAATATCCTATAAAATTTTTAAGTATTAAAAAATTTAAGTGTTTAACCAGAGAACAATTTTTCTCAGTCATTCTTCCCTTCAAGTTATTCCCACATCTGTTTAAACAAATTGTACAACTATGTAATTTAAATATTTGTAGGCCACTACAATATAAATGGAAAAAAAGTTGTTTTTATGAAAACGAAGCTGAATATTTTGGAAAGGTACACTAAGTCAAACTGCTGAATTACTTAGAAAAAGCAATTGGAAAGAATAGGTTCAAAAGTTAAAAAAAAAAAAACTAATAAACTTCAGCCCGCAGATTTCTTTGTAAGAGAATTTAAATTGCCAGCACACTTTAAGGAAATCAAAATAATATATTTTGGGCAGTGAAAGAAAGAGTGTCAGGTGCTCTTAAAGAAAAGGTTTTATTTCTACATCAAAAGATTGGCTGAAAAAAGTTCATTTCTATTTCTTAAGTAAAAATAAAGTATTTATAGTTTTTTATGATTCTCAACTTTTAAAGTGTGTTTTTTTTTTCTTATATGGACTGATTATCAATCACCTCAGTAAAGTGGGATTCTACTGTGTCTACTTACTTCTATTTTTATTTCACAAAGGATTCAGGTACCTTATAAACCTGAACGGCATAAATAAATTTAAAATAAGAAAACTGAAGAAAAGGTAAATATGGCTGCAAAAGGAAGATGCAAACATTAATTTTTAATGTGAGAAAAAATTTAAGGTTTAGATTTGTATGAGTTTGGGGATGATTGCTCATGCAGCAGTATTGTGGCAATTACAGACACATACAGTAGATATAGGTTGTAAGTTGCAAATTTAGTAAAAACAGTTTTAATGAATGTCATATTATCCATTTGACTGCTAAGGATAAATCTGTCTCTATGTTTTCTAGCAGTCAATACAACAATGAAAAGTTATGATGGTCAAACTATCCAGGAGTCTAAAAACAAACCTGGGAGTAAAAAATAAATAACCTGATACTCAGGTTAAAATATAGTTATCCACAATACAGAGAACAGAAAAATTTCCCTAGTAGACAATGAGAGACCATTTGTAAGGTAATAAATCCTTACAGTAAAAACAGTAACAAATCCAATAAGATTGTGTTTTGATGAAATAAGTAATATGAAATACACACACATAAGTATAAATGAACATGTTTCTGTGTTGACATATTTTTCAATGAATGACATCATGCTAAAATACAATTTAGTAAAAACAATTTTAAGTAGAGCAAATATTCTATGATCCAATTGTTCCACACTCTGATAATATACATTAATTCAGGATTAGGTTTTATAGAAATTTAAAGCAGTGGTTCTTAAAGTATTTTTGGATAAAAGACTTGAAAGTCTATTAAGAATCTTTCCAATTTTCCTGAATCTTAAAAATAGTTTCTGGGAATACCCAGAAATTGGTGGCCTAACCACCAATGCCTTGTTATATAATACAAGGTTAAAAATCAATGGACTAGTCATTGTGACCGTAGGTCCTTCATAAGGTACTTGAAAACCATTTTCTCTTAAGCCAGCATTCTGCAAGGTGTTGAACCTAGGTGGATTCAAGATTACTTCTCTTTGTCAAGTAACTGGAGTGAAGATATTTTCAGCTTAACTTAAGTGCAGAGCTATAATCTGTTGAGCTAAGGTAGGACTCACCTCCTTTCATGAACACAGAGTTTAATAAAGATAAACTCTTAACTAGTCACTCCAGTTGGAACCTGAGGGTATGCTTGTCAACAGAGTCATAATTTTCCTTAGAAAGTAAATTGGAGATATTCTCAATACAGAGATAAACAACAAAAAATTCCAGGCCAGAAAAGTGTGACTAAAAAAATGTTAACTAGAAAAGATTTTAAGTATTCCTAGGCTATTCAATAAATCTAACTTAGTAAAGCATCCAGAAAGCACATCCTGTTTATAAGCAATGTAAATACTGATATATGTGACAGGCTGAATTATTGTTCTCAATTCCTCACTCATCTGTAGTAAAGTTATATATCCACAGCCTTACCATGGACTCATGATAGGCAAAGTGCATGCCCTTGCTCTGTGGCTTTGAGCTTGGTTATGTGATTTATTTTAATAACAGGAGGTAGCAAACATGATGTAAGAAAGGTTTAAAATGTGTGTAATAGGGCTTACCCTTTTGTGCTCCTGCCTTTTGTCAAGAGAAGAACATGCCTCAGACAGCTACTGGTCCAAGGAAGATGAGTAACAAATGTATTCGATCTGGAACTAAGAAACAGCTTAGAACCAAGTTCAGCTGAACCCTAAACCCGTATATGAGCAAAAATTTAAGGTTTAGATTTGTATAAGTTTGGGGATGATTGCTCATGCAGCAGTATTGTGGCAATTACAGACACATACAGTAGATATAGATTGTAAGTTGCAAAGAATCAATATCAAGAACTAAATTATTATACGGATTATTAGTTAGAAATTATTGGGGGCTTATATATTAAGGGCAGAATTTTTTTCTTCCTTGAGAGATGGTAGTAACATACCAAAGAAACAAATTTCAATGACTTTGACTATGTCACTGATAGATAGTTTCAGATTGTTTTTCCATCTATAAGAGTCATGTTCTAATGGCTCAGTAGTGTACCAAAGGCAGGGAGGCAGGAGTGGTAAGTCCTAACGGGAAGTTAACCATGAAATTATTCAGAATTGCTAATGGATAGTAATAAAATGAAGACCGAGTTGGAACTGATTTTATTACAATTTGAAAATTTTCTATGTATAAAATATCCCCTTATCACCTGGACCTAGAATGCATGGCTCTCACTACATCATCCCCTTTGGTGAGCTATGAAACAACTCAGAAAAGTTCTGAACATACAATTCCAAAAATGGAAGTCTCAAAAATACCTTAAACAAAATACTTAAGTTAAATATATCAAGTGTGGGAGTACCAGAAATTTATTCATTTATTTAAATGCTTTATAAAAGTTCATCACAATGAAAAAAGTAAGGTCTCTGAATCATAACCCAACTGGCATCATAATAGAGAGTTATCTCAATGTAAAGCTATTCAACTAAACTGGTCCTTATATGCTCTTCAAATATACTAAGACCACACCAACAATTTAGTCCCAAATTCCATTTTTAATGTATTCTACTAATTTTTTATTCATTAATCTGATTTTAGACATGCAGATAACCATTAAAAAATAAGAGTGCTAATAAGGGTACACCTGGATTTCTTTTAGTCCATTAATATAGGCCATGGATATCACAAAGATAATATAAGTCTCATTCGCTATTAATATCTACATAATTTAGTAGGGTAAAAACTTTTTTAATTGCTTAAAAGAGCTATCATACTTTAATACACATTTTAAAAATCTAAAGAAAAATCAGGTTGGGCACAGAGGCTTACACCTTAATCCTAGCACTCTGGGAGGTGGAGGTGAGAGAACTGCCTGAATCCAGGGGTTCGAGACCAGCCAGGGCAATTTGGCGAGACCTCATCTCTATAATAAATCAAAACATTAGCCAGGCATGGTGGCATGTGCCTGTGGTTCCAGCTACTTGGAAGGCTGAGGCAGAAGGATCACTTGAGCCCAGCAGGTCAAGGCTGTGGTGGCCATGAGCATGCCACCTGGGCGATAGAGTGAGACTCCTACCTAGCCCCCAAAAAACAAAAAACAAAAATGCAGCTACCTCTGATTCCTTTTTAAACTAGAGTAAATAAGGCCTCACTGTTAAGTGGTATAGTTCATAAATAATCTTTTGTAGCCCTGAAACTATAATCCTTTTAAGAACATTAACTGGAAGATACATTAATTGGAAGGCGCATTCAAGATGAAATTCTTTATAGAGTAATACATATTCTATCTTATATATAAAATAAGATATGTAATACTTTAATAATATATACTTACGTTGCTGCTTTCTGTTTTTATACAATTAACAAACCCCAAGTCATAGGTATAAAAATATAAAATAATTAGCAGTAGAATTAATCCGAATGACTATCTCAAGACTATTATAAGTCTTAGTTTTACTAAGCAAAGTTTACTTACATTTAATAGTAGAAGTTTACATACCTGATGCTCCAAAAACTACATCCCAAGGGGAACTAATGGGTTGTTGTTCTCCTTTTGCTCCACCTTCTTTATCTGTACCTTGAATTCCAATGCCAGCTACAGTGCTCACCTTCTCAGTTTCTAGGTCAATCTATAGAAATTTAATGGATGTTACCTTTTCTTTTATCTTTTGCTATGTAAAGATTTCCAATAGAACATTTAAAGAGTATGTGCAACACAATGTTTTCTTCAAAAAAAAAAAAAAGGTAATCAATTATAGAATGAACTTGCTGTTTAAATGCACAGGATCATTCCCTTTCATTTCCCTACCTGTTCATTCCCCTGCTTTTCCCCACTTTAATGATACCTTTACCAGACCTGGTGGTGATCTCATCTTAACAAAAAAAAGATCTTAAAAGAAAATGAAATTTTAAAACAGAATCTAGCAAAACACATATTTCTTAAAATTAAATGCATGTTTCAACTGTGTTCAGTAACTGACACATACAGAATTTATTATGTGCCAAGCACTAATTCAAGAGTGAGTCAGCCAAACAATCATTCTCATAATAACTCTGTAACTGTGATTTTGATATTCAAGAAAAAACTGAGACATTGATCGTTAAGTAAGTTTCTCAAGATCCCACAGTTAGGAAGTCAACAATCTGGGATTTTAACTCAGGAAACTCTATGATACTATGTTGACTATATTTCATAAATTGAAAAACCAATGTATTGTACAGGAAAAAAATGTTCTGCTTTCATCTCCTGAGATCCTCTTCCCAACATTTTACCATTACATTTTTCAAACACATAGAAAAGTTAAACAATGTTGTAGCAAACATCCATACACCTACCACCTAGACAGATTCTATCAATATTTCACTTAATTGCTTTATCACATATTTTATCCAGCTATCAATGGAAGGAAAATTTTCTTTATTTCATAGATATTTTATTCCCCAAAGCTACACCAAATATTACACTTTTGGAGAAAATTTACATGCATTCCCTTTAAGATTATGAGCATGACAAGATACCCACCATTACTGCTAACACTTAAAAGGCAGAGGTGGAAAAATAGCCTGAGTCCAGTGGGTTGACACTGGGGTGGCCATGAGTGCGCCACCGCACTCAAGCCTGGGCAACTGAGTGAGACTCTAATAAGAAACAAAGAAAAGAAAGAAAGAAAGAAAGAGAGAGAGAGAGAGAGAGAGAGAGAGAGAGAGAAAGAAAGAAAGAAGGAAGGGAAGAGAAAAGAAAAGAAAAGGAAAGAAAAGAGGAAGGGAGGGAGACAGGGAAGGAAGGAAAGCAAGGAAGGAAGAAAGATCCTCTCATTGGGTGGGAAGTAGAACTAGGTGATGTCAAATCCATGTGTCTGTTTGAAAATCCATGTGTGGCTGGGTGCGGTGGCTCATGCCTATAATCCCAGCACTTTGGAAGGCTGAGGTGAGAGGACTGCCTGATCCATAGGTTCGAGACCAACCTGGGTAACTTGGTGAGACCTTATCTCTACAATCGATCAAAAAGTTAGCCAGGTGTGGTGGCACATGCCTGTAGTTCCAACTACTTGGAAGACTGAGGTGGAAGAATCACCTGAGCCCAGCAGATCGAGGCTGCGGTGACTGTGAGTATGCCACTGCACTCCAGCCTAGGTGACAGAGTGAGAGACTCCGACTCAAAAAAAAAAAAAGAAAAGAAAGAAAATCCATGCTCAATGGATGAATTCAGCAACCAAACAAAGTAGGAGCTACAGATGGCTACAATATGAGAACAAACATGAAAACACAGGGAACGTTCTCATACATGTAGACTGGGAGCTAGGTTGGAAAACCATTAAAGTTGCCCAAATTCCTTGGGAGTTATCTAATGGGGTGTTCCCATTTTCTGCTCCTGCAATGCTCTGCCCATTTGAATCCAGACCACGTCTGGCATTATGAAAAGTACCCGGCCTTTCTCTAGGTAAAAAGTATGACCTTGATGACTGATCACCTTGCTTTTTAAAAGAACAGATACTAAGCTTTATTATCACTGCTATTATTATTGCTAACATTTACCAAGTGTGTACTAAATGCCAGGTACTTTGCTTAGCACTTTGCATGTATAGTCTCATTTAACCTTCATGACCACCTTCACAGGAATGCTCTTGCATTCATTCCCCTCATGGGGTTGAGCCATCATGTCTTAGCCATTTGTCCAAAGTCAAATAGCCAAACAGTAGTTGAGCTGGGATTTGAACCTGAAGTCTCTGTTTTTTTTCAAGTTGGAGTCTTACTTTGTCGCTCAGGCTGGAGTGCAATGACACACTTATAGCCACCAAAGCCTACAACTCAAAAAAACAAACAAAAACACTGTATGTTTAATAAGATCACATACAAATAAAAATATATGCATTAAATATAGCAGAATGGCTGCCTATAAGTACAGTCATGTAAGAGGAACCACAGTGGGAGTAGGAAATGGGGATGTAGAAGAATTTATAAATTAGTAAAAAAAAATATTCTAAACAAGAAGGGTCTGCATGGAACAATGATATTTGTGAACTGAGAATGTTGGCATATAGCCAGCTCAACCCTCTGCAGATGAGGCCTTAAACAAGAATAAAATACAACAAATATCCTTATATTTTTAGAAGGAAAAAATAAATCTTAATTCCACTTCCTATTTCTGTAAACAATTAAGTCATACACTACAGTACAACTTCAGGTAACCTAAATCTGTTGTGATTATATTACATAAATGCATAAATATTTTAAATACAGTACATGGTCAAGCCTCAAAACCCATTAAAGGTCTAAAGCAGGAGAAAAAAGGACAAGGACTCCCTAAATGTTGTAGGCCAGCTACTTCCATATACTGTTGAATGTCTATTACACTCTAATGAATTATAGAAGCATGAAACCCTAAAAAGATAATGATAAAGAAATTATTATCTTTAAGAGCTTATTGATAGAAAACTGCTTTTCCCCAAAATATATACCATGGGAACACTAGTCCTATGAGAAGCTCTGCCTATTAAGGGCTCCCTGGTCAACTAAGTCTAGAAGTACTGCTCAAAATATCTTCCCACTAATGTACTCAACAATAATTAGCATATTTAAGTCTCTAAGAAGAGAGTCTCTAAGACTTCCAAAAAATATGTCCACTTTATTAATCCAGAAAATTCTTTTTTCATGTAACAGCTTTTTGTATTAAGAGGAATATGTACTTTTGAAGAGACTTTATTAAAAGATGTTATTTGCTTATAAATTCATCCAACAAATATCTGTTGAACATTTACCATAGGCCAGGTCCTGGATTTTGGCAGTAGACAAAAAATTTCTTGGAACTCATGAAGAGTTACATTATAGTGGATATTATTATTTATTCTATATATGTTTTTCTAGTATATGTATATAGGTGATAATATTATCAAATAAATGAGGATGAATATCAATTCTCAAAGAAACAGTGAGAAGAGCAAGCAAATATTTGAAATAATGTGTTTAGACAAGATGAGTTAGATAAACTTGGTTACTTATTTTCCAAATAGAAGTCAATTTTTTTTTTTTTTGAGTTGGAGTCTCACTCTGTCACCCAGACTGGACCTCAGTGGCACGCTCCCAGTGACTGCAGCCTCCTGCTGGGCTCCGGCGATCCTTTCACCTCAGCCTTACAAGTAGCTGGAACTACAGGTGCGTGCTACCACGCCCGGCTAATTTTTTATTGTAGACATGAGGTCTTGCCAAGTTGCCCAGGCTGGTCTGAACCCAGGCTCAGGCAATCCACTAGCCTCGGCCTCCCAAAGTGCTGGGATTACAGGGGCTGAGCCACCGAACCTGACCTATTTTTTCCAGCTTGAGAAAATTTAACTGAAAAAGGGCAAAGGGCTACTTTGAAAACTAGTGGTTATGAAAATACCACAAAATGAGAAGCTTTTGATTAAACAGGCAGATGACTTTGAAACAAAGAATTTTAAAAAAAGAACTTATTATTTTTCTTTTGTGGCAACTATGCATTGTAACAAAGAAAAACAGGATACTTAAGAATAAAACCGCTGGGTGTGGTAGCTTATATCTGTAATCCTAGTACTTTGTGAGGTGGAAGTGAGAAGATTGATTGAGCCCACATGTTCAAGACTAGCACATGCCTGTGGTTCTAGCTACTTGAAAGGCTGGAGTGGAAGGATTACCTGAGCCTAGCAGGTTGAGGATGCTGTGGCTGTGAGTATGCCACTGCACTCCAGCCTGGGTGACAGAGTGAGACTCTGACTCAAAAAAAAAAGAATAAAACTAAATCAAATATGTCGGGAGCAAGCCATGGAGGCCTTCCTGCTGACAAAGTCCAGGGGGCTGAAGACCCCAAGTTGCAAAGCGAACCTGGGCAGCTGAGACCCTTGCTTCTTCTACTTTTGTTATCAGAAAGTGCTTGATTTAATGTCTGTCAGGGAACTCAATGGTCTTGCCAGGAAATTATCAATAGAGATTTTAAATATCAGGTGTGGGTAGATAATTACTTGTAAGATTTTATTTCTTCTGATTGGCAACTAATTGGAGAAATTTGAGAAGCTACAGTTTGTATTTTTAGGAAGAGTGCCAATGCAAAAATTATATTTACTTAATTTCTTAATTCCTACATGTGGTGTATTATGCTTAAAAAATTAACAATCCCATAAATATTAGAGCACCCTTGTCTTCACTTCCCTTTGTTAAAGGAGGCTTGTAATTCTGGTGACTTGAGCCCGAGAGACGTTTTGTTTTACAAACATTAAAGCTCATTCTCGCCGGACTCAGTGGCTCAGCCTGTAATCCCGCGCCTTTGGGAGGCTGAGGAGAGTGGATTGCCTGAGCCCACGGATTCAAGACCCGCCTGGGCAGGTGAGACCTCATTTCTACAATAAATCAATAAATTAGCCAGGCATGGTAGCATGCACCTGTAATTCTGGCTACTCAGAAGGCTGAGGTGGAAGGATCGCCGGAGCCCAGCAGGTCGAGGCTGCGGTGGCCGGGAGCGGCCACTGCACTCCAGTCTGGGTGAGAGTAAGACTCCAGCTCAAAAAATAAAAATAAAAATAAAAATAAATAAATAAAGCTCATTCTCCCTGGCAGGAAATAATTAACGCAGATTGTAAACACCAGGTGTGAAATTAGGGAAAACTAGTCAGGCCAACTTGCAGCTAAGAAACCTTGAAAATGTTGCTTTACCCCAGCTAGTTGCAGATTGCTGTGTAAAGGTCACAGGTGTGACTTGTTAATCTATGTGATAATTATAGTGCTTAGAGCTTGGTAGTGATTTATAATATAATAGTTATAGGAATAAGTAAGTTCTGTATGGACATTAAGAAATGGTAATCATTAAAAAAAGTTAGAAGTTTATAAAATTTATAGTTTAGGATGATAATGTTTTAAGATCAAAACAGGATGAACAAAAGATACATTGCCTGTCCGGTCCATTCAATTGTGACTGATTGCCTTGGAAACAAAAAACATGTAGGGTATAAAAGGATTTGGAAAAGACAATAAATCAGCATTTGTCCTGTTTGCAGCAGAGTCAGTATCCAAGTTTTTTCTCCTGCACCAACGCCGTCCCTCTTTCAGGAAACCCTGACCTGCTGGAGCTGGACTATGGCACAAATACCCTGAGATAAGCTGTATAAGGACACTTTGACATACTTAAGCATGCATCACTCTTTAACTCCAAATATTTAATGCAGCAAATAAGTATCGGTTTTTCTCAGTAAAGTAGTAAAACTTTAATTTGGAGTGGAAAATTACCTTTCTTATAAGGTGGTTTTCAGTGTCTGCCACATATATTATATTATTCTTTATGGCCACACCTTGTGGAGAATTAAAAGTTGACTCTGAAAATATCCCATCTTTTCTTCCAGGGTTAGGTCCTAAAAGACAAGATAGTCATAAGACAAAATTTTCCCAATTAAAAAGTAATCTCAAGGTAAAACCAAAAAAAAAAAAAATTGTAATTAATGCTAGGATTTTAATATAAATATTTCAATACTTCCACCTAAAAAATAAAATGTTTCCCCAGGTACCTACTTTTCTTAAGTGTATGTATAATTACTAGTACACTTAAGCAGCAGTCCCCAATCTTTTTGGCATCAGGGACCAGTTTCATGGAAGACAATTTTCCATGGACCAGTGAGGTGGGGATGGTTTCAGGTTGATTTAAGTGCATAACATTTATTGGGCATTTTATTTCTATTTTACATTGTAATAATAATATGAAATAATTACACAAAAAAGATGTGAACAGAAGTGGTAAATAAAATACTGGGCGGACCACACACAGGCTAAAATAAGTGTATGATTCTGACTTAATGCCTGCCAACAGCTGCAGCTGTACAATTAATTGAAGTACATCAGCTCACTTGCCACTCATTGGTAGGGTTTTGATATGAGTCTGCAAGCAATTGATTTACTATGGTCTCTGTGCTGTCAAACCTCACTGCTAATGTTAATGTTATTTGCAGCTGTTCCCAGCACTAGCATTACTGCCTCAGCTCCACCTCAGATCATCGGGCATTAGATTCCCATAAGGAGTGTGCAACCTACATCCCTTTGATGTGCAGTTCATAACAGGGTTCATGCTCCTGTAAGAATCTAATTCTCTTATGAGAATCTAATGTTACCACTGATCTGACAGGAGGCGGAGCTCAGGTGGTAATGTGAGCAATGGGGAGCGGCTGTAAATACAAATGAAACTTCGCTTGCTTGCCTGTGGCTCACCTCCTACAGTATGGCCCGGTTCCTAACAGGTCACAAACTAGTACTAGTCCATGGGCTGGGTGTTGGGGACCCCTGTACTTTAGTAGCATATATCAGAAGAAAATAATTTTGAAAGTATTCTAATTACCTACTAGCTAGACTAGAAAAATTTTAAAATAATTTCAATCTTTCAGCAACTAGATGAATGATTTCTAACAATTTTGAAAGACATACTCCTTTGATAATACAATGAAAATTATGAATCTTTTCCCTGGAAAAATATACACATGGCCCAAAATATTGTAAGCAATACTAGAACCTGAGAACCATGCAAGCATTTCATAAGAGTCCACAAACTCCAGGTTAAGAATCCTTCATATCTACTACTTCACTTTGACACAAAGTCCTACACTACCTCATACACACTATAAGAGAGACAAAGAGTGACTCTGGTCTATGTCTCAGGATGTGTGGAGTTTCAACATAATAAAATACAATTTGTATTTCCATGGCCAGGGGACCAAGTCATTCAAAGTCTCTGAGTGAGCAGTTCTGAACTGCTTTGCAGAATTCAACTGTCCTAGATGTCAGTAAGAGAGGTAGTATAATGCAGTAGCAAGGAAATGAACTCAAGAGCCCACAGGACTTAGTTTAAATCCCAGCTCTACCTGTTCCTAGCTAACGATTTAGACAAACACTTTGTGTCTTGATTTTGCCTTCTGTAAAATAGGATTATTAATAGTATCTAATACACAGGATTGTGAGGACAAACATAAGTCAATACAGATAAAGTGCTTAGAATAATACCAGGCATATAGTGTTTACTGTATTATTATTATTAATAATACCATTATTAATATCAATATTGATGAGTTCCCTGAAGAAAAAAGAGTTCTGTGGTTACATCAGAATGGAAAATACTGGGTACTACAACCTCATCTTGGATATTCATGAAGCACATTATAACAGAGTAAAAGGTTTGAGCAGTCCTATGATACCATCACAAACAAAAACCTGTTTTGTTTTTTTTTTTGAGTTGGAGTCTCACTCTGCCACCCAGACTAAAGTGCAGTGACACACTCCTGGCCACTGCAGCCTCGACCTGCTGGGCTCTGGCAATCCTTCTGCCTCATCCTTCCAAGCAGCTGGAACTACAGGCACGCGCTACCATGCCCGGCTAATTTTTTTTTATTTATTGTAGAGATGAGGTCTCGCCAAGTTGCCCAGGTAGGTCTCGAACCCACGGGCTCAGGCAATTTACTCACCTTGGCCTCCCAAAGCACGAGATTACAGGCTGAGCCACCGAGCCTGGCTCACAAACCTGTTAAATCACATCAATCAATGTTTCCTGAGTGCTATCTGACCAAAGAATTCTTTTTAAAGAACTGAAGTGTAACAGTAAATACATCACAAGATCACAGTATTCCTAGACACTTGCTTGGGAAATGTAGCTTGCTGCTGGTTTCTTTGTTAACAAAGAATATGTACCTAAACTATATTAATATATTATTTTGAACTATAAGAAAATGACTGATGGTACTGGGAAACTATGGGGGGGAGGAGGATGGGATTAACAGTAGCAAATATCTGTCTGGGGATGGGAAAACACCTCTTATCAACAGGGTGCCTGAATGAAACGTACCTGTACACCTAACCCTTAACTGTACCCCACAAAACCATAATAAAAAATATTGATTAATAAAAATAAAAAATATATATATAATTTTGAAAAATCATAAAATATATTACAAACCTGTTTAAGCCATTTAAATTCAAGCTGCCGCAAAACACACTTCTTGGGTAATAATTCTCTTACCTGTCTGTCATAAATTAAAATATCAAGGAGCCAAAACAAATACCACAAAACATAACATATATCCCTTTTTTTTTTGGTTAGGAGTCTCACTTTGTCGCCCAGGCTAGAGTGTAGTGACACACTCACAGCCAGTGCAGCCTTGACCCACTGGGCTCAGGCGATACTTCTGTCTCAGTCTTCCAAGTAGCTAGGACTGTAAGAGTAAGCCACCATGCCTGGCTTTTTTTGTTTTTGTTTTTTTTTTTGAGTTGGAGTCTCACTCTTGTTGCCTAGGCTGGAGTATCATGGCACACTCATGGCCACCATAGCCTCGATCTGCTGGGCTTAGGTGATCCTTTTGCCTCAGTCTTCCAAGTAGCTAGAACTACAGATGCACGCCACCATACCCAGTTAGTTCTTGTGATTTTTTTTTTTAATGGAGAGACGAGGTTTCACCAAATTGCCCAAGCTGGTCACAAATCCCTGGACTCAGGCACAGCACATATTCTATGCTGTCATAATAAGAATAACATGAGGGCTGAGGGGCTGAGGAATATGACTAGGTTATTTGCATTAGGAACTCAGCTATCCCTACTTTATATATTAAGGCTGTCTATGTTACTAATGCAGAACCGATTGCAAAGAGATGAATTACTTTTCTCTTTGACTAATATGGTGTTGGATGTTAATTCAGCCTAGATAAGCAGGATCAGTAAGAATGTATTTAGTTGATTTTATTGAATAAATAGATATAATCAAGAGGCATTTTTAGACCTAAGGCCAGGGAAATATAGAACAAAATAATCTATGCTTGCATAACATTTGTATTCTGTTATGCCCAAATGAAACTGATCAAGAAGTATGCTTAAGTTCTTATGGAAGAAAGAAAAGAAAAGTAAAATTATCGTGCAAATCCTAGCTTATTTATATTATAATCTAAGTCTCAAATTCATAAAGGTACTGGCTTGGTTTAAAAAATGACTATATTTTGTTGGAAAGTGAAATATAATACTTCCATTTAAAATGTCTAAAATTTAAAATCTATGTATTTTCATAAAACACAGCAAGTGTGGCAGTTTTTGGTTTTTTTCTTTTAAAAGCAAGATGGGATATACAAATACTCAAATATACTTAAAAACTTAACATTTTCGTCCTTTTTACCTGAAGCTTTGGGGTATTTTTGCTTGTTTTATGAGGGAGTGAAAAGAGGTTAATTCAGATACTATACATTAATTAACAAAATAATTTTATGATGAAAAGTCAATGTATATCATTATTCTATAATTAGTTCAATATTTATAAATTTCAATTTTTAGATATTTCTTGAACTTTTTGTTTACTGTAAAATATATTATTATCTGTCATAATTAGAAGCATACCTTACCTCCAATGCTGTACTGAATTTGTCCATTCTTCCAAACGACCAAAATTCTATGGTGTCCAGTGTCTGCTATGACCAACCTATTAGTAACATGGTCTACTGTTACTTTGCCAGGAAACAGCAACGGTGAAGATGGCAAAGAATCTTTATAAAGTTTTATTCCAATTTTATTATCTCTGATCTGTCCCCTGTCTTTGTAATACTTTAAAGCTATTGAAGTAAATAAAAATAATTTATCTTTGTGTCCCTCTCCAATCAAAGAAAATAACATGTTTCCACGGGGTCCAAGTATGACCAAAGTTGGCCAGCAGGAAACTTCTAGTTCTTGCCAAAGGCTGGCATCTGTGTCATTAACCACAGGGTGGGTGATATTGTATCGAAGAATAGCACTCTTAATGTTATCCAGGACTTTTTCATTTGGAAACTTAGCTGAGTGAACACCAATAATCAGAAGACCATCTGAAAGGAAAAAACTGTATGTTAAACATTATAAAAGATTAAAGTTTGAATATCATCATCCAAACATTAGGTTTTGGGTCACTCATAATAGTCCACAGATTTTTTTTTTTTAAAGTAGAATTACATTAGTAACTACAACTGCATTTAAATACACATATAAAAAATTACCAAATTTAAATCTCACTACGATCTTTATTACTACATAATAACATATATGACCATATTCATGTGGCTATTGAAGAATTAAAATTATGTTCCTTATCTATACAAAGCTATAAAAAAGGAGTCTTTAGTTTCTTATAAAGATATTTAATTTTTTTTTCCAGCTAGAATAAGACCTTTGAATTTCAGAAATGACTATGATTGCTTTTGGGGGGGTACTTACTGTCATATTATTCTCTTAAAATTTTCTGACTCAACCTTACATTATATTTATGGAATGAATAAAACCAACATGTTTCTATAATATATGGTTTGTCATTTATTTAAAATTCCTATTATATAGTTCTTAGAACAAACCTTTTTATAGACAGTAGAATTGCTGAAAACTAAAACCAACATACTTATTTTACATCATCAATATTATTTCAAGAAATTCATACAAGAAAAAGTAAGAAATGTTAGGCTGGATTCAGACAAAAAATGCAATATTGACTACTAAAGCAGTAGAGATCATTACAGCAATATAAATTTAAATCTCCCAACACATCCACCAGAAACTACTCAAACTAGCATGAAGAACAAATGAAACCACACAAATCAGGAGACATAATCCTCAAACAGTTCATCCTTCTATCACAACTATAAATTCCCAATCAAAACACACACAAGCATGCACATATACCCATGCTTGAAGACTGAGAAAAGTAAACAAAACCACGTAAATTGTAGAAAGGGTCAAAACTCAGAAAAGCTAACCATAGGATGATGAGTTTCCAATTTTATTTTCATTTCCCTTTTCCTTTGTCTTGAGTGTGAGTACTTGTTTTGGAATCACATGGGTAGCCAAAACTCTCTGAATTTCTGGCCCAAAAAACCAAGGAAATTGAACAGTGTAGGGAACACAGTGAGGGGAAGACAGTTAGAGAAGGTAATTTCCCATTTCTGAGTATGAACACTCAAGCCTTGGTTTAAGTCTAAACTACATATGCATGAGACCCAAAAAAGTACAGCAAATGCTTATAGAACTGAATTACTGGGATGACAGAAAGAAAGAAAGCTGATGGAAAATGGGACAGAATTCAAAATCTGAATGATTGGACTTAAATACCTACTAAATCAAAGCTATCACTATTCTCTAGATAACTTTAATAGAACCCACAGTTTATATATCATCGCATTCCAAAGTCTAGGATACAATCCAAAATTACCTAGTGCTCAAAGAACAAGATAATGTGAACTATTATCAAGGAAAAAAATTAATAAACAATCAACAGATCCAATCCCAAAATAAAGTAGACATTTAATTTACCAGAAAAAGACTTTAAAGCAGCTATGAAAACATTGCTCCATGAGGTAAAGAAAAACATTGAAATAAGTGAAAAGATAGGACATGTAAACAGAAACTACAAGAAGTAACTAAAAGTTTTAAAACTGAAAAATACCATAAATTCAATGGATGATCTCAATGGCAAAAGGAGGTGACAGAGAAAAGGTCAATGAACCTGAAGATAGTTCAACAGAAATTATTCAATCTAACAGAAAGATAGGAGATTGAAAAAAATGGAAGAGAAACTCAGAAATCTGTGGAACAGTTTCAAAAGATCTAAGTATAAATGGAGTCCCAGAAAAAGAGAATAGATAGCAGAACAAGATAATAAATAGAATGAATCAGAAAAAATACCTGAATAATGCCAAAACTTCCAAAATTTGGTTAAAGATATAAATTTACAGAACTCAAGGTCAGCATATACCAAATAAAATAAAACCATGTCTAAATACATCATAAACAAACTGCTGAAAATCAAAGATACACATACACACACACACCCCTACTTTGAATACAGATGAAAGAAAAAAGATACATTGAGAAGTGGTTGCCTGAGGACTGGGGATAAAGGCAGGAGGGAGGAGTAGGAAGGATTGTACGTTTATTATCTTGGGTAAGTTACTTAATCTCTCTGTTCATGAGTTTTCTCATTTATAAAACAGTAAATAAGCTATAGGACAGACAGATTAAAAGATGATCTGTGTTAAGGGATTTAGCATAGTACCTAATATACAGTAAAATCTCAAATTTTGCTATTATTATTTTTCAGTTATAAGTATAAAGATAACCAATAAAAGAAAAATGCAAACATTTCTAAATATCCAAGAAATTAATAAAATAGCAAAACAATGCATCATGCTGAGAAGCATAACAAATATAACCTTATATACACAATAACAAATTACTTACACATAATCATATGAATAAATCATATGAATCAATGGGCTTAACTCATCTACTAAGAGAAAAAGATTTAGATAAATTCTGTATATAAAAGATACATCTAAAACAAAGTGAATCAGAAAGGCTAAACACAAAGGACTAGGCAAATGTACATGAGGCAAATGAAAGCAGTAATAACACAAGGACTGAAGATCTCTTCCCTCAGCTTCTCCAATTCCTAAGCCAGAGGAGCATTTAGCTCCACTTCATTATCTAAACTGGAAGCTTACAAGGGTTCCAGTCCAAACTCATGAGTTCTAGCTTAAGCTTGCAGATTCTTTCTAGTTTGTCCTTGCTCTCCACTATTCATATCCATCTTTCCTTTTCAACTGCCTGACCTGCCATCAGAGGGTATATTCACCAACAGCTTATTCTTCTATTACAACTATTCTAAACCAAAGCGCATGCACACATGCATACACACTTCTGCTTAAGGACTGAGAAAAGAAAAAAAAAAACAGGTAGATTGCAGAAGCACACAGAAGAAACAGCCTCACATAAACTAGTTAGTCAGCTCCACAATTATATAACATCAAGTACCTATAATAAATCCCTCATTATTTCTCATCACTATCAGTGGTTCTGTTTCTTTGATCAAGTTACGACTAATACATTAAAACCCTATATCTTTGCCTTGGTCTTTACTCTACAACTACACGGATACAATTTCCATCCATCCATTTGCACTTTCTCTAGTCAACTAGTCCCTGGTTGTATGAAGCCCACCCTCTAGTTGATTTACTAGAAAGGGTACAGATACACAGTATTCTCTGAGTTCTTAGACAATCAAACTGGTTTTCTATAGTCCTGATTAATTTTTGAAGTACAAAAAGTTGGACATAATCTCCTTGGTTTTTTCTTAAAATGCTGCTCTATTTCTACTGTTGGCTTGCTTTGTATGTTGTTTGTGAAAAGTATGACCAGTTTAATATACATTCTTTGTAAGGTATCTCTTTGTTTGGAGGCCTTAAGGATTTTTTTTCCAATCTTTAAAATGTCCTAACTTTACTAATGTTACTATTAATTCCACTGTTATTTACAATGAATTAGGGTGGAGGGTTACTCAACATAATTAGACAAGTGAAATCAATTAGAGGCATAACAGTTAAAACATTTCTATATGCAGATGATATAACAGAGAAATCCCAGAGAATTTATTAGGATACTCCCTGGACTGTTCTGGGTCAATTTTCCCTGGTATTTGGTAGGCTTTTTCAATATGTACACTCAAAGTTTCTTTTACTTCCAGAAAGTTTTCTTGGATTGCAATTTTAGAAATTAGATCCAATCAGTTCTGATTTTCTTAAAAGTCTCCAAGTAGTCTTATGTTGGACCTCCTCTTCCCAACATTGTTTTCTAAAATTTTTAACTTCCTTTTTTTTTTAAGCTTGTTTTCATTCCCTGGGATAACCAACCCTCTCCCCATTTTCTTTAATGTCTCTTATTAAGTTTGTATATGAATTCATTGTCCCTTGGGCATCTTATAATTTAGTTTTCATTTCTAAAATAAATTTAAACTTCTTCTTTTATTACTTTCCTAAGTTTAATTAATACTCGTTTCTTCCTTTTTTCTTTTTAGTCCATTTCTTGGTTTTTGAATTTCTGACTCAAGCTGTTTTTTCATTATTTCCAAATGCTGAATGAGGATACTTAATCCAGTATGAAGCACTGTTACAGTTTTGTCAATTTTGTGATTGATAAAAAATTTATCAGCATTTCAACTTTGAACTGCATTTTCAGTTTTTTTACCATAACTTTTATATGAATATGATCTGCTTTTCCCCACTCTTCATTTTGTGAACAAGGTTCATAGTTTGAGAGCACCCCCTTCTGACAGTTTCCTTTAGCACTGTTGCAGGGTGGTTGATGTTTTGTTTCTCTTTTGTTTCTGCTGGATCCTTAACTTCTCCCTTATTTCCTTTTTTTCCTTCAGTGGTCTGTCTCCAAGGGAAACCACAGTTTGCATATATGCTTCTATGAGGCTTCCATTCCCAGTTCTTCATGCTTCTAAGAGCTGGTAATATGATCTAGAATGTCAAAACCTGTGTTCAGTATTTTGCACTTTGTACTGGAATTTCTCTTTCTGAGAGTAAAGGGGTTATTCTGTTTGTGCTTTGTCTAAGTTCTCTAAAGCATTTTACTTTTTCTCATGAAGTCTTTTAAGCTTCCCTGTCGCTGTTCTCAGCACCCACAGATTTACAGCAACAGAACCTTTTTTGAAATTTAGTTTATTTTTTAACTTACAAGTGTAACACAAAGGACATAAAATTCTCCATCTCCTAGTATGGTGGAATGCAGAGTCAAGTGTGCTTTTACTTGCTCTCCTTGTTCTTTTTATGCTCGGGGAGGGAGGGAGGACTATTATTAGGAGATTCAAAGTCAGTGGCTACCATTCCCCTCCAAACCAGGAAGTAGGAGAGATAAACCCTTTTATCATATTAGGTTTATTAACATATAATTTGCTTAAAGTAAATTGATTTTCATACTTTGTTAACTGATTAAATAAATGTAATTATGAGTACTAAAACCAGTCTCTTACTTAATGGAAAAAACACTAGAAGTATTCCCA